ATGTTTTCTTTTGGTAATAACTCAGAGGGCCATACTGCTGCTTGTTATAAATCATATGTTAGATTACATTTGTATCAGATTGGTTATATATATGTGTGTGTTTGTTTTATGAATTAACAGCAAAAACCTCTTCAAACTATAAAAATCTAAAAGGTTTCAATAGAAAAGTTATATATATATTTACACATATGTATGTATGTCTTTGTTATTCTCCTGGTACTGTGTGTGGTAGAATTTTCTAAGTAGATGTGGTACTTTTCAACTCAATCTTTTAATTTATAGTTACATGTAGACTATTTACATTTCCAATTATATACCTAGAATTCTTATTTAAAATCTAATTTACAGCTTGTTTTAGATGGGAATTAAAACATTTTGATATGACTCATAGTTTATTCTGTAAAGAAAGATTTCATTTATGATAGCATTTATGTTTCTGCTGGAAATCAGAGGCATGATATGAGAGTATATATAGGAATACTTTAAAATAGAATTATGCTGTGTAAATTATGTGCCATGTTAAACTTTGAGTAGGCACTTAAAATCTGCAACTATAAAATCCAGGTTCAGTGGTGTCTATAATGCTGACTTCATCTGCCAATCCCTTTTATACTGCAAAAAAGAGGATTGTGTCTGTGTCCTTTTTATTGTAGTAGAAATTACATTGTTGAGTATAAAAAGTATTTCTTTTGCATTATATATATTAAAAAACAGGGTAATGATATTAAAAATTACTGAATTGATAGTGAAGCTATCAGATATATACTGTGGTGTTGGACGTTCTAAGTATCAGGTGACAGGGTATTCTATTCTTTGTAATCAGTTGAACTTGATATTACAGCATAATTCACAAACTAGCCAGCTGTGCCTGCTTTTGAGGACCACGTAGTCACTATGATAAATCTGTGAACCCAAACTTTCAAAACATAGTTCTTATAAAACTTAATGTCTATGTATGCACATGCAGGTACACATAGAATGTCTCCAAGGAAGGTTTCAAAATTTGCCACTAACAAGTGTTGTATTTCTAAGTTAAAATATGGCCCTGTCTCAAAAATTTTACTATTACTTGAATAATTAATTTGATTAGATTTGAATGCAAAGGTCCTGGAGAAAGTCTAAGTCTGGTGATGATTTATTAGATTATGACTAATTGGGATACTTTAAAAATTATAAAAAATGTGACCAATGTTTTCAAGCGTGCCATTAAAAATGCTCCAAAATTTAGCTGGGTGTCAGTGGCTCATGCCTGTAATCCTAGCTACTCAGGAAGCTGAGATCTCAGGATCAAGGTTTGAAGCCAACAACTCCACCCACCCCTCCTCCACAGGGGTGGGAAAGTCTGTGAGACTGTTATCTCCAATTAATCACCACAAAAGCTAGAAGTGGAGTTGTGACTCAAATGGTAGAATGTAGCCTTCAGCAAAAAAGCTCAGGAATAGCAGCAGCAAGACCCTGAGTCCACAAGACCAGCACAAAACACACACAGCTTCATAATTTGTTTTATTAATCTTTATTGTCCCTTGTGAAAAGAATAATTTGCTTTCCTAAGATTTATGGTACATACATCTGAAAGAAACTGCCAAATCAAATCAGACTGTGTTATAAAGAGGAATGTATTGGCATTAATGTAAATATCAAGACAATACTGGAAAGTTCATTTCATTTAATTACATTTGGTATTTGAACTTCTACTAGTTAATCTGTGAACTATGCTTGCTTACTCATTTATGAGCACTCCACTCATTGGCCTGTTTTTGTTGAAATAACACTGTAAGTGTTATTTCAAAATGTCACTAACTTGAGTTTTAGCGTCATTTATTCACTTGTAGCACTGGAACACACACAAACAAAAAAAAACAGGAATAAATTACTGGCAGAGAAAGAATAGTGTTTGGTAATGATAAAAACCTGTTTGCAGTTAAAGATTGATTTATGGGGAGGACTAAAAGAAGCATTTATTACCTTTGACTTTTTCTTACAGGAAGGAGCATAATGGAAAAAGGAAATATAAACCTTACTGAAGTTTGGTACTGTTCTAAGTTTAGTGTACTACTCGCTTAATAGTGAAACTGAGATCAAATGGTTAACTTATTCATTCTAGTTTGTAGTACTACTATTTTATGAAATGTGACATGATAGATGCAATATAATAGGGCTCTAAAATGGTAGTATTTCTTTACATTTTGATTGGGAAGTAAGGTAAAGGGAGGATATTGTTACCTAACTAAACACAAGAATTATGCAATATTATAAAATATTACAGCCCTATATTAAAAATAATAAAATATTATTTTACAGTTGCATTTATATGAATGTGTCTATTTCATTTGATTTCACTTAATAATGTGTTTTGCTAACAGGGAGCAAAACTAAATGGCTGTCATTGGTTAGCATTTTATCTATATAAAACTAACAAAGGAGATACACAGAATCATAAAACATAGTTGGTTAATCCAAAAAACATTCAGAGAAAGAGGAACAGTGCAACCAAAAAAAAAAAGAGAGAAGAAAAGGAAGAGAACAGAAGAAACAGTGACAAGATAGTAGATCTTTTTTTTGGGAGAGGCGGTTATGGGGCTTGAACTCTGGGCTTAGGCACTGTCCCTCAGCTCTTCAGCTCAAGGCGAGTGCTCTACTGCTTGAGCCACAGCGCCACTTCTGGTTTTCTAGTGGTTTATTGGAGATAGGAGTCTCACGGTCTCCCTGCCCGGGCTGGCTTTGAGCCGTGATCCTCGGTTCTCAGCCTCCTAGGGTAGCTAGGATTACAGGCGTGAGCCTGATTAAGATAGTAGCTCTTATAGATCTAACCTCAACCACATAAATTTATAATTTAAAGACTAAATTGTAAGATTTAAAAAAAAAAAAAAAAGAAGTGGCGCTGTGGCTCAAGTGGTAGCACTAGCCTTGAGCTGAAGAGCTGAGAGACAGAGCCCAGGCCCAGAGTTCAAGCCCCACGACTGACAAAAACCAAAAAAAGCAAGACCTTTATGATTCGTCTATTTTCAATGTTTTGAGGTGCTTTTATATTCTTCAGCACGGCAGTACTAATTTTTAGTTTATATTGCCACCAACAGTATATTGTTTTCTTTTTTCCTACATCCTCTGCAACATTTATAATTTTGGCCTAGTCCTAGTTGCTCAAGGAGGTTGAGATCTGAAGATTGCAGTTCAGAGCTACCCCAAGCAGGAAGGTCTTTGAGACTTACCTCTAATTGGCCACCAGAAAATTGGGAGTGGTGCTGTGGCTCAAAGTGGTTAAGAGTGCTAGCCTTGAGTTAAAAAGCTCCAGGACAGCACCCAAACCTTGAGCTGAAACCCCACAACTGACAACAAAAAAAGCCATTGTAACTTGATATTTATCGTGGTTTTAATTTGTATTTCTCTGAGTGCTAATGATATTGAAGCCCACTTGAGATGTATTCTAAGGATACAAAATCATACCAGCCAGGAACTGGTGGATCATGCCTATAATCCTAGCTGCTCAGAAGGCTGAGATCTGAGGATCAAGATTCAAAGCCAAGGAGGAAGCAACAATGCTGGATAGGAAATGTACTCATTACCTTGCTCATGTAACTGAAACCCCTCTGTACAGTATTTTTACAATTAAAAAAAGTTGGGCTGGGAAGGTGGCTCGGTGGTAGAGCACTTGCCTTGCATGCATGAGGCCCTGGGTTCGATTCCTCAGCACCACATAAGCAAAAAAAAAAAGATAATAGAAAGTTAAAAAAAAAAAAGATTCAAAGCCAGCCCTGGCAGAGAAGAATCTGCAAGACAATTATTTACAGTTAACTACCAAAAAAAGCTGGTGGAGCAATGGCTCATGTGGTAGAGCATTATCCTTGAGCACAAAAGCTCAGGGACAGGACCCAGGCCTTGAGTTTGAGCCTCAGGACCGCCACCAAAAGAAAACAATCCCAACAATCATCGTACCAAAGAGATAGTGGCTTCCCTGTTTTTTCTTACTATTCACAATAGTTAAGACATGGAGAATCAACCTGGTGCTTGGTTTTTAATTATGTTAGGACCCACATTTAAATTATTCTTTTACACTATTAACCTTTGTGAGGAAGTTACTAAGCAGCATTTTCCAGATGCACCTCCCATTCTGAGCCCTGATAACCTTGAGCTACAAGGCATTTCTGCTGAGCTGGCAGAAATCAAACTATTACAGCCATCTTTGAGCTCTAAAAACTTTCCACTTCTCTGAGGAATAGTCTTGGGTAATAACCACATGGTCACCTTAGCTGAAGACTCCATCTCCCCGCAATGCAGACCTCCAAAATTTCCCTTGTATCACCTGCAGCCCTCAAACATCCAAGGAAACAAAATGAACAACCTTAGAGCTCAACTAATTTGTTTCTTTTATTTCACAAATCACTGCCCACATCTGACATCTGCTGTTTGTTTCTTATTTTTATCTGTAGTTCAGTTGTTTCAGACTAGTCCTTACTGTTCTATTTTGGTGGTAAAAAATGGCATTCCAGTCTGTACTTTTCTTCTAGACAGACTATATATCTGAGGCTAGGTTTGAATTTACAATGTAGCCCCAGCCCCAACCTTACTGCCTTACTGTCTCAGCCTCTTAACCAATAGAATTACAACTGTACATCACCATACCTGGCTCTTTAAAGATCTTTTAGCAGACTGTATGGAATGAGCTTTGCTCCCTTTTCTCATTTCCAATGTATTTTCTTGTTTATCTCAATGACACTTGGCAAATTTGACTATGGTGATCATCTATGTCTTTTTAAAAATTTATTTCATTAGTTTCTGCCTTTGACCTGGGTAGTTGATGTAGACATATTCACCGTGTAAAACTTACCAAGTTATATATAGTTTTGTGCATTCTTGAATCAATGGTATGCACCAAAAAATTTTGGTAATATTTTAGAAAGGTCTTATACTTGTGGGTAGTAAAATAAAACCATAGCAAATATTTCTTAAATATATTGTTTTACCTATCGTTTATTGTTGCTGATGATAGTAATGGCCACTTAGAATATCATTTCATTTTAGCCTGTGCAGCCATTGCTGCTTCTTCACGCCACTTTGCTTTCTTTGCCAGGTTCCAACTTGTTAAAGATTCATGTCGTCCTGCAGCCTGTAAACAACAGAACACACGGCCTTGTGACTCTCTAGAAGAACTTAGATTTTAGTTAAGAACAATAGAAAAGAAAAATAAAACACGTCATAGTTCCTTAGGAAAACTTCTTTATTATGGAAAAAGTTACATGTCTAGACTTCCAGTCTGCAAGACAGTTGATGTCAAAATCTGCCCCTTTCCCCAATTCCCATCCTTCTGATATGCACAGACAAATTTGTTGGATAAAACATAATATGTAAGCCCAAAATCATAAAAGGGAATCTTCCACTACCAGAAATGCCAGGTAGTTCAAGGAAAATAGCCAAGATAGAAGGAAATGGTTTCAGAGCTGTTGTCTTTTGGATAATTGGACTTAAAGGCTTTGGGATAGACTGAAAGCATCAGAAAAACATATGAAGTAACTGAAATTCCTCTCATGGTCCAGGGATCTCACAAGGAAAGTAGGCATTTATCTTGGTGTGGGGAGAGGAGACCTAATATTTATGGTTTTTGTTGCTGAGGCAATTTACCAACCATTAAAAGATGCATAAAAACTCGAGAACCATGAACTTAGTAGGTAGTCACTTCTAGTACCTTATCGAGTAGTCACTTACCTAATATAGTTAAGATCAAGAAATGACTGGATCTCTTTCTTGCATGTTTGATTGCTTAGCCCAGTGTTTTCTAGTTTCCATTTAATGAGAACAATATTAAAAGGACAGATTATTTTCTAAGCTAGTAGGATTGAATGGGTGTATTTATGTAACAGTAAGCTTAATGGGTCTTAGTTCCAGTGTGAAGTTAGTGAGCTCATGTACACACTAGAGAACCTGAGAATCATAGCATTAGGCACAATGATGATTGGTGGGTGGAATGCTGGGATTGAACCTAGTGTCTCACACAAGCTAGGCAAGTGCTCTGCCACTGATCTATCCCTAGGCTCTCTCTATTTCTTTTAGGGACATACTCACCCTTTTGGCAGAAATGATCACTGCAAAGCAGGCCACAATCGTGAGTCCAATCATTATGTAGCAGGCTTTCACTCGAGCTTTGTTTCTTGCAGCATCTATCATTTCAGGCCTAAACCAAGATTAAATATTTTGTCGATATCGTTTGTGACAGGCATGATAAATAATGATTTATTATGCTTGCCAGTTAGTCACTGATTCCAAATTATTAGGTGTTCTATTCAAGTTGAGATCTTTTTTTTTTTTTTTGGTAGGTCGTGGGGCTTGAACTCAGGGCCTGAGCGCTGTCCCTCAGCTCTTCAGCTCGAGGCGAGCGCTCTACCACTTGAGCTACAGCACCACTTCCTCAAGTTGAGATCTTAAGGTAGTGTTAGCCACTATGAAAGTATAGTACAGAATATTTAATTTCCAATTGCTCAAAATGAAACCATAAGAAATTATGGCTTTTTCCAAAACATAAGGAGATATGACAAAGTAAACAAGACTCAAGAAATAAAGGACCTCCACTCAGCTGGTTGAATCATTACTAAATGACCCCATGCTATTGACCACATATATGGTATATTTGTGCACATCAGAGGGAAACTAGGAGGAGGACACAGAAACAGAGGGAAATGGGAAAACAAACAACAGCAGGACCCATCAGCTGCACTGGTCATTGATCAAAACAAACTAAGCAACTCAATGGCAGCTGTGGGAGGGAGGGAATGAGTGGGAAAGAGGGAACAGCTGACACTGAGCAAAAGGAAAGAAGTGTACATATCACCCAATGCGGAAGAAATAACTTGTCAAAGCTCATAGAACTCACAAACTTTATAGACCACAATAAAGACAATTTGCCCCATGAAGGTTAGAATGTGCATGTGATTTTAACTAAGTATCACTATCCCACAATACTGTGAAATTTGTGAAATTTATGTAATCACTTCATCACAATAAAAATTGCGATAAAAAAGAAATTATAGCTTTTGTTCATTAACTAAAAGTAGGAGTTAAAGCCATTTCAGCAGGTTTTTATAAACCCATTTTCAACATTCCCCCACAGTCTTTTCCCCCACCAATCCTATTTTCAAAAGAGACCATTAAACATTTTGTGTAAATAACTGTCAGAGAAAGGGTCTTTCCTTCATAGTTTCATGTAAGAAGTGATCAAAATCACAATAATTTTTCAAAAAAAAAAAAGACAAAAGAATGGGTGTGGTGGTGACCAGCCTGTAATCCAGGTGGAGAACAAGGGACCCAGGATCCAAGAGAGGACAGGGATAAAAGTTCTGGAGATTCCGTTTCTTTCAGTGGCTGAGTGCCTGTTCTCTCCAGCCACACACAGGGAAGCTCAAACGGGAGAATGGCAGCTCAGGCAGACCTAGGAACAAAGCAAGATCTTTTTTTCAAAAAAAAAAAAAAGGCAAAAGGAAGTATGGCTCAGATGGTAGGTATCTGCCTAGCAATTGTAAGGCTCAGGGTTCAAAAAAATACTCAAAACAAAAATACTCAAAACCAAAACCAAAACTGTTAGCTGGGTACCAGTGGCTGAGATCTGAGGATGGAAGTTCAAAGCTAGTCCAGGCAGGAGAGTGTGTAAGATGCTTATCTCCAATAAATCACCAGAAAGCTGGATATGGCACTGTGGCTCAAGTGGTAGAGCATTTGTCTTAGCTGAAGAGCTCAGGGACAGCGCCTAGGCCCAAAGTTCAAACCCCACAACTGAGAACCCCCCTAACCCCCCCCAAAACCCTCTTGCTCTTTTATTAATCTGAAATTTGATAGTTACCTTGGGAACTAGATATTAATTTATATTTTTATTAATAACGTTCTATGCGAGATAAGATTTTAGCAATACTACTTATAAAGTAGTGTTACCAAAGAAATCATGCCTGTGGAACTTTTATATTAACCATTTATAGTAATATGAAACATTACCTTATATAAATATAGTGTTTGATGACGATGATGAAGAAGATGGTGATGGTGATGATGATGATTGGTGGTGGTATTGGCCTTCTGCTTGCTAGGCAAGTGCTCTATCAGAGAGCCATGCCTCAATGCCCTCAGTAATGATAACATTTTGTTTCTTGCCAGGTATACACCTGAACCACAATCCTCTATATTTTGCTTCCCATTATGGCTAGGAGGACAGGCAATTGCCTTTTTTCCAATGAGATGGAACTTGTGGACTATACCGCCCAGGCTGGCCGGAAGTGTGATCTTCTCAGTCTCAGCCTCCCACACAGCTAGGCTAACAGGCATGAGCCACAAGTACTTATCCTTGAGATTGCATCTAGTGCCATTTGTTTCCATCTAATGTTGAGTTTAAATAGAAGGTAGTTAAATTTTTTTTCAAAAATTCTAGGAAGACAGGTTGCAATTTTTCAAGATAAGGATTCAGGTGGTTTTTCTTTCTTGCTATTGTTTCTAACTTATTTATAAGGTGATTTTTTTGTTGCTTTGTATGTCCCTCCCCCACAGTATAACCCCTGTTTTCACTGTATTTGATGTTGGTATAATTTGGGGAGGGGAAAGGAAAAAACAAATTGTTTAAATAGGGATACAGGTAGACCCATTGCAACAATGAGATGTACAAGATGCTATGTCA